CCTATGATAAGTTTGGAAACGGGATGCACCATTCGATGTGTTTTGGGCTTTGCCAAGTTTCGCGGCGTTACGTGCCTCGTTTTTTTTTGCATACACGATCAGTATCTACTTTTGGGATTCTCAGTCAGGCAAGCCCCCGTCCCCGTCCCCCCCTATCGAAAACCCGTGGCGCCGCCCCTGGCCCTTTTTCGTTTTGTGTTACTTCAAAGGCACTGGGTTAGAGTCCCAGGGCTCACCGTGGAAAATGTTTGACGCTACTTCGTAAGCATTAAGCCCGAACATACCGTCTAATTCAAGTGATAACGACGATAGCCAGTGGGACCGTTTTGCCTCACTGCACTTGCAGCGCACCGCCGCAGAAGAGTCAATTATTCAAAACACTTCAAACTGAAACGCCGCACAAAGTGCAAAAACATGAGATATGCTCCTTGCCACAAATAGGGGAAGACGGGGAACACCGACCCCCTTAGCCTTTCAGGGCCCAGCCACATAATTTTTGGCCAAATGGTTAATCTCTCAGTTTCATTGAATTGTCGCAATAATTTTACATACATACCTATAACCTATCAATCAATTGTTTTCTTGTAGTTTCATTCATAATTGCGTCAATAGGGGAAAAATCAACTCCCTGTTTTTACCACTAAAACGGGTCGGAATGGCCCCATAAACCATACATGACCTCATATACGATCAACCTTCACTACCTTGAGGTCTGTTTTGCTGTTGGGCAGCTGTAAGCACTAAGCAGGGTTGTATACGACTCAATCAATAGCAATCAATTCAATCACGACAAATTTGGGAAACCAATCAAATCAATCAAGTCAGAGCAGTTTTCGGGAATTGATTCAATCGACTCAAACGCGACAATGAAAGGAATCAATCAACTCAATCAAACGACTCAAACCAAGATATACATTAGGTTTTTTGCCCCACCAACTTGGAAAAGTGTCCATAGCAGTCTGGTGTACCTACCTACCTACCTACCTACCTACAGAAGAAACTTAAAAATATTGTCATTTAAAATTATAAATTGCCATGCCATTCAAAGTTTCTATGTAATAAGGAAGGATACCTAGTGATGGACAGGTGGATCATGATATTGAGGTTCAATGGGTAGAATTGGAGCAGAAGTTTCATTTAATGGGTGCAAAATAACCCAGTAGTTGACTTCAACAAACGCCCCTTAACCCAAATCACCACCTTTCACCTAAAAGTTGTCAATTTAATTTTGGCCATATTCCAGCTAAGTCATCAGGCCATCTACCTCATGTAAAGGTAGATGGCCTGCTCGTCTCTTATGTGAGTTATGCGGAGCTCTTCTGAATTGAACCCTGAACATAATGAACCTAGCTAGGTTTCATGCCACACTGACACCATATGAAAGTGTTGAAAATGTGCTACAAATTTGACAACTTCATTAGGTATGCTTTATGAAGACAGCAGGAAAGCAGGTAGGTACCTACTTACCTGCCTAGATGTGTCACTGGCTACCAACAGTACCAACGAAGGTAGATAGGTTATATGTGAAGAATTCAAAACATTTTATTGCAATACAATTTGAAACTGTTAGGACTGGGGGATAGGGATGAGCATTAAAAATATATTTAAAAGGAAATGGAAAGGACAGGGACTCTGGAACCACAGGATACGTTAAAGACAAAGGAAGTAGGTACAATGAAAATTAAAACGCGAAAACGGCACGGTGCGACTGCGAAAAAACAAAGAAAACGTTTTGCCGATAAGTATGCTAAGCTTTTATAAATCCTTATTCTACGTCTTTTGATTTTTTGGTAAGATGACGTCATTGGTTATCATATAGTATGGTAGATCATCATAAAATAAATCGGTTGAACAACACCAATTTCGTTTTAATTATTATTTCATTTGAAATAAAACCACTTAATAATATTCGGTAAAATATTTTAAGGAAAATGAAATATATTAAATATGTTATGCTTAGGCTCTCAGGAGAAAAGGATCAACAAACGTTCTGCTGCAAATTAAACAATGCAGCAAATTAGCTATTAATTTACGTAAACGTAATTAGCGAGACGAAAACGACGCTTTTGTTTCAGTTATTTTTGTAGGGGTTTCAGATATTTATAGAGTTCAGTGGGTTGTTTCTGAGGAGATGTGGAGATGTGAATTATTAATTAATCACACTTTATTAGTATATAGGGCCTTGCACTTTATCATCTGGATTAAAAAAAAAAGTTTCCTGCTGAGTGCAGAAAGGTAGGTAGGTGCATCGCCAGGTATTATCCCAGCAAACATGCCCACATGGGTCCCATATGGGGTGAACATGGGCCAGATGGGCCCACGTGGGACATGGGCTACAGATGGGCTACCCATATGGGCCCCATATGGGATAAAAATGGGCCAGATGGGCCAAAACGCATGTGGGCTGGAGATGGGCATCCCATGTGGGTCCCATATGGGGTGAACATGGGCCAGATGGGCCCACGTGGGACATGGGCTACAGATGGGCTACCCATATGGGTCCCATGTGGGCGCCGCGTGGGTCCCATATGGGGCCTACGTGGGCTGGCCCATATGGGTCCCACGTGTCACCCACTGCCATTCCCATGTGGGACCCATATGGAAGAGGTGGGGGGCCCATGTGGGCCCCATATGGGAACCATGTGGGCATGTTTGCTGGGTATCTCATCCATGGCCAGGTTCTATCACAGGATTGGAGCAGTTATTGCAGTGGAAGTCAAAGTTGGCTGTTCATGTTTAGGCCCTGTTCTTTATTTGGCCATCTACCCCATATTGCAGTTGTGATGACAAGCAGTTTTCAGTGTAGTTTTGTGATCTTTGATGTCATCAATTGGTGTCATTATTTTTCGTCAACTAAAACTTATTTAAACTTTCCATTCAATCGACTCAATCATACGAGTCACTCTAATTTTCGGGAATCAAATCAGTTAACCAGTCGCTAAAGTCAAACGAGTCAGTCAACCAGTCATCTCGAAAAGTCAATCGACTCAATCCAATCAACTCAAAATACGCGTTGAATCAAATCAATCAATGTAATCGACTTGATTGGTATACAACCCTGGCTGTAAGGTCATGTGACGTTATCAAAGGTCACCAGCGGTTTTTTGACAATAACTCCGTACAGGAACAAGATACAGCCGCGCGGATGGTCTCATTGTGTTCAGCTCGTCAAGGCGCATCGAATGATATACATGATGACCTCGAGGTCACGTGACCTGAGGTCAACCTTTGACCTTGACCTTTCGAGGTCAACATATATATCATTCGATGCAGATTGACGAGAGGATCACGATGCTGCCCTTAGTTTGTTCCTATATTTATTAGTTCGAAAGTTATTCGAGAAAAACTCTCTCCATACCTAGCGCCGCCATTTTGACTTTTTTGACCCCTGTGACGTCATCTTTGACCTGACCTGAAAATGACCTGAGTAAAAATTTTAGACCTTGTCCGTGCGTATCCCTTGCCGTTTACCGCTTGTCGCTAGCTTGCTTCGTTCTCGAGATCTCAGGGGGGGGGGCGGTCATCCGCCCCATCCCCCCCCCGTCGGTGCGAAGTTGGCGCAGACCCCCGTCGGTGCGCGGGTTAAGACTCACAACCAATCCGTGATCCCAGTGATGACCAATCCGTGAGGATAGTTGGAGTTCTGACCGATCCGTGACTCCAGCGAGGATGAGCGTCGCGATATAAGATCATTACTCCAGTGAAGATTAGCGACAGATCGTTACTCCAGTAAGGATTATAGCGACCAATCCGTGACTCCAGCGAGGGCTAACGAGTTAACAACTGAGCCGTGACTCAGGCAAGAACTGAGACTTTGAGACAAAATATGTGATCAACGCATCCTCGCCGACTTCATCCAAGGCTCTGCTCCCACGCTCTTCTTCGCTCCCATCAGCGAGTGGTCCTCTCTCTCTCTCTCTTTCTCTCTCTCTCTCTCTCTCTCTCTCTCTCTCTCTCTCTCTCTCTCTCTCTCTCTCTCTCTCTCTCTCTCTCTCTCTCTCTCTCTCTCTCTCTCTCTCTCTCTCTCTCTCTCTCTCTCTCTCTCTCTCTCTCTCTCTCTCTCTCTCTCTCTCTCTCTCTCTCTCTCTCTCTCTCTCTCTCTCTCTCTCTCTCTCTCTCTCTCTCTCTCTCCCTCTCTCTCTCTCTCTCTCTCTCTCTCCCTCTCTCTCTCGACACTACATGCCACCAAATTCTGTTTACTGATCATGTCCAACTTGTATCGGTCCAATGTCCACAAAGGACGAGACGATGTCAACAGACAGCCAGTCATATTTATCAGTGGTGATAATCATATCCTCCAGCAAGGGAAGGAAACCACCCGTTACCACCCAGACCACCCGTTTCCACTCAGATAACGCCCGTCCAGGCGTCCACTCAGTGCCCGCCCGTCTCCTCCACTGCACAGCCAGCCTGTCGGCACCGGGCGCTTTTTGCTGGAGCTGTGTGAAGTCCATCGGCTCCTCAACGATCGGCGATGAAAGCAAGGCGGACGGAGAGCACTGTAAAGCCGCACTTCAAAATGTCGTGACCTCGGTAAACTCAGAGACAAGAGGATACGATGGAACTGCTTTGGTTCTTTTCAGCATCAAAAGTGCCAACAGGCCAACACAATTCTACTTGCCCCTAGAAAACGTCTATAAGCTCGTCCGTTTTAGTCTCGAACATTTAGCTGCATGCGCCCAATGTGTGTACGCAACAGCTTAATTAATGTTGAAATCACGTATGTCAAATGTTCTATGAAGCGTAAGACGTTACACAAGAAATACGAAGCCTTAGCTGATGATCTCTGCTTTCCGATGGCTCACGCCAACGACAAAACTCATTGCTCAGAATGCTCGTCTTATAGAAGCTTGATACGAAACTATTCTAAAATGGGGATGATTCGCCGATTCCAAAAGCATTTACCAAGAGCCCGAAGAATTACACGTACATCAACCTCCTGTACCGACGACGTAAAGAACTCGCAACGAGTGACATTTCCTATCTCGTATCAACCACAGACGACAGCAGAAAACCGACTACCCTGTACACGATATACTTTATTATTTCAATATACCATTTGTGCGACATGGTGCACTCCTGGCTGGTATAGTTTGAGTGGGCGTCCGCAATCACCACGGTAAGTGAGTTGCCCCAGCTCACGGAGAAGGTCACAGCGCTGAGCGTCACCGGCCTCGGGTGACATTTGCCGAGCGTCAGAGAGGTCGCGTCGACACCAGTCATAACCAGCCAGTGAACAGCGCTGACCGGGTTAGAGTGACCCGCTGCCGTCACACGCGGATACGACACTGGTTCTGAGGACATTGTCACAGGGCCGCGCCGGGTGGGGTTCGGGGGCGCCCGGCCTAGGGCCGCGCGGTGGAAGGGTCTCGGCGGAGTCTCGCCGTACGCTCACAGTTCACAGGTCTCGGCGTGTCATAGCGCCACGCTGGGCAGCGAGGCGATGGCCCGGTCCAGCTGGTGACGCGACAGGCTGGGCTCGTCGGCCGCGGTCAGCAGCATATAGGAGGTGTCCGTGCCGGAGGCCGCTGCCGGCAGAAACGGAGAAAGGCAGTGGCAGAAGCGAATTATAATGGCATGCTGGTGCTTGACTATTCGCATGGTTTCTTGATACGATTAAGACCGAACTGTTTTACGAGAAAAATAAAAATAAGTTTATCCTTAAATGTGATCTTAGAATCATAAGATGTCCACATTCTAATATCGTGCTTCTTCCACCTATGACTGTGATCCTAGTTCAACAGTACCTTGTTCGTTGCCTGCTCGTTCGTTTCTGATGCTGCGGCCGGCGCCACCGGCTGCGCTGTCGCTCCCCGCGCTGCTGCTGCTGCCGCTGCCCCTGCTGCTGCTGCTGCTGCTCGTACTGCCACTGCTGCTGGTGGTGGTACTGCTGCTCGTACTGCTGCCGCTGCTGACAGACGGTCGTCGGCAGCTGACAGCAGCATCAGCCGTCCCCGAGCTGGTCCCGGCCGCCGAGTCCGCAGCAGCAGCGGCAGCGGGAGGCCGGCTTCCGGCGGCCTGGCGATCAGTTGGTGACCGTCAGACCCCGAGTGGAGGGTCCCAGGAATAGGGCTAAGCTCTACAGCAGCCTGCCCCAGGTGCTGTACGGCGCTCCGAGAGATAAGCGTATCAAATGTACCGGGATACCTCAACAGTGGCCTAATCTGCACTAAGCACTATGCAGCAATTGTTCAACTGTGCCTGCGCATTGATCGGCATACGAACGGAAGGGGATGTCGCAACGCGTGCTTTCCCGGTGGCAGAGAATTGGTGCGCTGCATTTATGTAACAATGACTACAATTTTTCAAGCATCCTTTCACTTCAAACAAATTTCCGCAGCTACAAAATATAAGTTGCAGCGGAAGATAACGCTGTGCCACGTGGCTTAGCGCGCCACAAGTTTTGCAACTTATTTCAAAGTTAGAATTGATGACTGGAGCAAACAAAATCAGGCATACCTGATGTGAACTTTGGGGACAACGTTACCTACTTTACGCCCATGGCCTTAAAGGGACCATCCCACCTTAACATTAGTTTTGAGTTGAGATAGCCAAGTTTGCGGCCAGGCTCAGAAACCACCATTTATCCTGGTCGCAACCCCCGCAGCTTTATGGTGTTCAAGAAATTTCTTCCCTTTACTTGCAGGGTGGGACCAGCTTAGTCCCTATCTCTTAACCATTAGCGGTTTTTTGATGACGTCAGCAGTCATTTCAACGCCCGCCATTCCTTGAACCAGAGTTTTGCTGACCTTGAGCTCCCTTTTTTATCAACGTGAAATCCGTCGTCAACGCTGAGAAAGCCTATTGCTTTTCATTTTAATTTGAATATTAGAAGATACCCACCACTGGAACTTGGACTGATATTATACCAAGGCCGAAGATGATCAAGCTGCCTGCTATATCTGGAGCTTGGTGTTCAACTTCAACATGGAATAAAAAACAAAATATCAAAGCAAACTGGATATGGTACTGCAAGTTAAAGTCCAAAGAAATTTGAAGAGCTGACAATTGACATTAATTCTTTTCCTGTAAGGTTTCCATATGGAGATCACAGTCACACCATGAAGAAATATTTTTGATGTTAACAGTTGAAAGGGGATTTATCTTCCAGTTTTGACGAAAGACGCTGCTGACTGTCTTTGGAAAAGGATGTCGGCATGAGGTGCAATTGTGCTTGTGAAGTGGTTATAACTGGTCTTTTCACAGTATTAAATTAAACGTGCCATTGCAGCCAAGTGTGTTATCATGTAAGGTAAAATCAAAACTACAATGTTGGTTTTACGAGCATTGAGAAGGCTGGTAGGTAACACCTACCTGTGCTCGTAAATCATGCTGCCAGAGTATTCTAAATTAATTTTATCATACACTATTGTTGTCCAGAATGGTTGCACTATTGTTTGGTATCATATTATTCCATGTAAATATGGTAGTGTAAAGTCCGACCAACATGTTACCAGATTTGAAGCTGTTACGTTACCTAAGTACCTGTTTTTTACTGGCGTGGTGAATGTCACCTGGATTTTGTTTTGAGGTGCAGACCTAGTAACTCTGACTACATGGGTTTGAAGCTATTATCTATTCTGTTTTTACTGGCCTGGTGAATGGCGACTGATGTTGTCCGTGGATGGCACTGAAACAAATTTTGAGTGTTTTGTACAGTGTTTTAATACAATGCTGAGGGCTGAAAGTTGTCTTGTTTAGAGTGGTGAAAGTTCAGGATATGCCAGCCACCATGGTGGGTCAGAGTTAAATGTGTTGCAGTCAGTTCGGCTTCGGCAAGCACACGGATGGGCATACGCATCAAGACCTGCTCTGCCATACTTTAAGCCAATTTTACCTAGGTAAGTCTTTTCTTTTTTCTGCCAAAAGCTATGACATTGTGAATTTCAGCACTGTGGCATGTGTGTAGCTTTCAGGAAAGCAATTCTAAATAAAGCTCTGATAAAGTGCAAAATCAGCAATGCAGCCCTCTATTACATCTTCTACAACATCTTACTTGTTCCTTGCATGGAGAGAAAAATGCAATGTTATGAATTCGTTTATTCACATAATTTGACAAGCATGCGGTTACCTGCTACTATCGGGTGCGGTTATTTTTTCACATCTTAGTTTGCTATTTTGGCGCGATTTTGACGATTTCTGGCGCATTCCACTTATTTTCTTTAGCGGGCATAGGGCAATGGTTTACGAACGGGAGATGTGATGAATTGCGGCAGCAATACTTGGAATATAAAGAAGAAGTGAAGCAATAATGATACCTATGATTTTTTTATAATGACAGAAGGACCGTGGAAGAAAAAACATTTTGTGCAGCATGTGAAAACTAAGAAATAGAACGAAAGAAGGGCTGCTACTTATCAAACCAGCCACCTCCAGCTACCCGAAACCAGCCACCTCATCATCATAGCATGGTAATGATAGTTAAAGTGTATGTTAAAAAAGAATAGGAGGAACTGCTGCAAAGGTGATGCCTCAAAGCTGTTAATTCAAGTCAGGCATGTTGTTACAGACTGAACGTTCAAGTTACGAGACCCCATACCGCTCCAGTGGCTGGTGCTTAGATTGCGCAATTTCAATTTGAGATACTTTGTTTATTTTTGTGGCATAAAATCTAGAAAGTTTTGTGGAAGTCTGGTGATGACTGATGATTCAAATAAGTGATAGAGTAAAATTAAGTTGAGTGGGTTCAAGTGTTTTTTTTCTGTAGAAGAAATCTTTAATTTTATTTTTACTTTGCTTACATGCTGTCGTTATCATTATTGCCTCTATTGAGCTGGGTATTTCATTATATATTGAACTACCAAATTTCTATTTGAAAAGCAAATCTGTAATCAACTTGAGCATTAGGCTGCATGGCAGTAGTGGAGCTTGTCAAATACCTAATTTTTTTGCTCAGAAATTGTTTGCTTTATTGGTTTCTTGAGTTTCACCAGATAAAGATACAAGGTTGGATGATTTGGTGTTAGTTATCCATATTAAAGTGCACTGTTTGTGACAAGATTATGGAAATTGTAACCTCAATATGGTTTCATATGAAATTTCATGCTGTCAAAACTATGAGATGTTGCCTTGAGTTTGGAATCAGGCAAACATGGATTGAAGCTGTTTTCTAAAAAAAAAAACTGCTTCTTTGTAACTTTCACCTAATAATTCACCTCACAAGTCACGGTCACGGCCATGGATATCACAGAAGATTTTGCTGAACTGCCAAAGAGAATCCTGTGCAAGGAAATGTTTTGAATGATTTGGCTTAACAGCATACATTTTTTTCTTTTCCCAGTTGCATTGGGGCTCTGCTGGAGTTTGCTGATGACACGATGCTGACTGAAGGGCTGAAGCTGGCAGCTGTGGCAGGAGTCCAGTGTCCACCAGCTCAAGATCCGACGCCGCCGCGTCGCCGCCGTGCGGCACTCCGCGGAGACGGGGACGGCGGTCATGATTGAAGACACCGCACTTCCCGCCTGGACTGTCCAGTGTCCGGTCGGAGACTGGTAATCCCTCCGGTGAGCCGCACACCGTGGAGCTTGTTACTGCACCGCGCGTGTCCACCCGCAGCGAAGTGCCTGCAACGGTGCCGTGAGTGCGACATCTGCGTGCATATGGCGCAGTGCAACTGTCACGACTCGCGGCTCAGTGTTAACTGTCAGTGTAACAGTGCGGCTCGCGCTCGTTTTAGCGAGGTGCTCTGTTGTATATAACCACCTTGATGGAGATCTATGTGCTGCCGCTTGAGTTTCAATGTACCTACAGTTTTATACATCAAACTAGCGTAAATGGCTGTCAGAGGTCAATTTGAAGCGCAATTAGTACCCATAACCCAGCTGGGTTGAGCGAGTCGAGTCATGTGACTAGTCCCGATGAACGTACTGTTTCGATGTCGCCAGTCGTAGACTTTTGTAAACCATTCGTTTCTGAGCTCTGTGTTGTGTTGTTCGGGATCGTAGTTGTTTGAGCAGTTTGCTTTATGCGTCGTACGCTGACAGAACGCTGGTCGTACACTAGTCATGTGTTTCCTTTCGCTCCTAATGGGTTACTGCGGTACCTATGCAGTTGGAATGTGTCTCGAGAGTCGAGACACTAACTGGTCGCACTTGGTTGTGAAAATGACACTAACTGGTCGCACTTGGTTGTGAAAATGACACTAACTGGTCGCACTTGGTTTCAAGCTGCGCTTGAAAATTGTGCAATTTTATTTGTATTTTGCAATGCAATTTTATTGCCGTTATCGTATTAGTTGATAGTGTCAAGAGTTGGCCATTTGATGCGTTGTCAGAAGCTGTTGCCTTAGTACTGACAAATTGATGGGCCGCGTTTGTGTTACTGTTAAGAAACGGATCTCAATATAAGGTGATTCAGAGGTAAGGTGATTTCACCTGAATGCATTCGTTCAGACTTTTCATTTCATGGGGATGCATGGTTTCATGAGCAAGAACGAGCATGGCTCTGGTTGAGCGAAGCGCAATCGATATTTGTTATCGTGTTTGTAGGCTGTGACCACATTTACATCACTATTCAACTCAACGCACTAGCATTATTAAAACTGCTTGAACCTACACTTCATTTCGCTAAATTTCATGGTCGTTAACCTACGGTCAGTGGCCGTTACGTTTGGCCAATGACTAGATTTTATTCATATTAACGGGTTCATATAATCACAGTATGATGTCCCGGACAATTTTCATTTGATTCACTGATAATGAATGTATCCAAGTACCCCACAAGCTGAGACTGAAACCGGAGAACTCGCGTTTCGAGGTTCAAGTTCATTATTTTCAGATGGTATGGTATGGTAAGCATTTAAAAAAGCGTGAGCTGACCACTTAGCGTTAGCTAAGTGAGCTTTCAGTTATTTCAATATTTGTTTAAACTATTATTCTTGTGATATTCCTGTCAATTTTACGCGGAATATCCAGTATTATGTTATACAATCGCGGTAACTAACTACCTATTTTCTGTCGGTTACTGTTATTATCCACGGTATATAGAGAACTGTTATTTTCATTGATTCGTAATATTTCGATACGAGAGTCGCTCAATTCACCTTGTAATTATATTGGCATTCAAGATTAAAGAATAAACATCTTTTAATGCATTCCAATTCCATCAAAATGTCAATTGCAAAAAATGTTCTGAAAATTGCAGCAGTTTTGCTAGTCGAAAATAGCTGTAAAATAGGCCTGTATAACTTCAACAACAGTGCGCCGAAGAACGTCTAAAAACGCCTAAACAAAAACTAAGATGTAAAAAACTAACTGCACCCCTACTATCACTGCAGCATATTTACGTCTGGACAACGAGTTGCGGGGAAAAGTGCTGATTGTGTTGCAGTTTTAGGAGCCGGTGATTAGGCTGGATTTTTGGGTTACTTTTTCGTTCCGATTCATGTATTTCATAGTGTTTGGCTTTTGAATATTTTAGTTCTTTCAGATAAATATTACTTGCCTTACAACTTTTGTAAAAACGTTTCATTTTTTATAAGCCGACGTTCAGAGTCCTAAAAATACATCAGCACTACAATCATTGTAAACAAACAAATGGAGCACCACTTGGCTCTGTTCCAAGGCCATTTTTTAGTTTATCTGGTGGTTTTCTTGCTCTTGTACGTCGTTTTGTTGGATGTTTTGAGTCCCTTAAGATTGACTTATATCATATTTAAGAAGCATGTCGACTGAAAACAATCTGAAGTATCCAAGAGGCTGACAGAGGTCCTGACTAGGTGACTACTGAGCAATATTGATATCAATATCAAGTTGAACAAGTTCAGTTATGAAATTTTGGTTGATAAACGCAAGTTGATCGGGCTCATATATCAGCAAGAAAAAGTAAAATTAAAAGAGCTTATTGTCCAAAAACTAGCTGTAATATTGCAGACATTGGAGCAATACTGAAGAGCACGCTGATCAGGATCATGCCAGAAAATGTTGACTGATGAGCGCATATTGATGTACCTATTGGTATGAATATTGAATGATAACTTACAACAGCAAGATAAATTAGTGCTAACTATCAAGTTAAAATCTAGAATGAATGAACTTGGGCAGTTTTACTATGCTTAGATGCTATGCAGATTGTAATGTGCATCAGGTAGGTACTCAGTGTCTGGAAAATGAAACATGCGATCATTCCATTACTACTGGAGGAGAAAGCTTGGATCACTAAATCCACTTTATGTTGATTTTGATGTTAATCATCATCGCTATATTTCTTGAAAAAAGGATTGTAGTAAAATTGTCAATGTGACAATCCATGCAACGATGTGATCATATTATGTGTTCATAGTCATTCGTGATAGTCATTATTGGTCCAATATACAATGGCAAAGCTCTCAGTCTCAGCGTTTCTTCCTGTGGATGGCCAGCAGTGACTCAGAGCTTAGAAGTATTAGTTTTCTTCACAGGGCTGGGATAAAAAGTACTGAGGGTAATCTTCCACCAAGGAACTCTACTTCGACATGGTATGAGATGTAGGCACAAGTAGGTAGGTGCTCAGTTCCTATAGTCAGTAGTTGTGTATGTTTAGTTGGGCTAGCTTAGATCAGATTGTTAGTTTTTTAATTTGCCAAATGTCCATAAAAATGTGACCTGAGCAATGAGCATACCTGATTCCTGAACCTGACTAACCTGACAGCTGACCTAACCTCAATCATCACACATATTTGCAGCCTACCCAAGACCTGCATGGCAGTAGCACCCAGTTATAGGTAGGTAGGTACTCACCCTAACTCAATCTTACCTGCTAACCTTCAACTTGCCAAAAGTTAGCTCACATTGCCAAGCTGTGTCCAGGGAAACAGTCAACTGAGGAACTGGCTCATTGGGTGGCTGGTGTGAGTCTGTGCATTTAAAGTGTTTCTTCTCTGAAGCTGCTCTGCTCTGCTGTATGTTATGTTAGATGCTCAGAAAATGTGGGAAATGATTACTAAGCTACAATTTAGTGCTTTGTTAATGCTCGAGACATGAACAAGTACAGATCCTGCAGGGTACAGCTATGAGTTAGGTGCTAGGTGAGTATGTTATGTGAATGTGCTGTTCCCTGTTTGACCGTAAGTATACAAACAAGCACAGGGTCACAGTTATATTCAATCTCCACATGTAGCCGCCGACCAGACTCAGTTCGAAACTCGGATGTCGTCACGGATCGGTGTATTGGACCGTGTGGCCCTCCGCACGCAATCGTTGCTGTAAAACAACGGCCCTAAGTTAAGCATTGCACAAATAAACATAAACGAGCGCAAACAAACGTGACGGAAATAAAAGGGACAGGCGAGGGGAACATAACACACGCATAAATAAATAACTTGATAAAGGCAACCAGGTACATTGCTACGCGTCCATTCATGCACTTGAATATGCATATACGAAACAGTATAATTATATCGAAAGCACTTGATTACATGATTGTGCTACCGCGACATTTAGTTACGTACCGACAAATGTGCTCCCTGAGTCGCTTATCGGCTAACGAAACCAGAGGCACACGTCTCCAGAGGCACATTAGACGACCAGCCTCACGGTCTTGGTAAATGGCTATAAATCCGAGACGAGTGTCAGCCTTCACCTTATTTATCCACATATAAATGACCGGTAATAAATATCTGCAGGCAATTCACATAACATTCAATACTGGTTTCATACACAGTAAATATTCGCCCTAATTACGGTTACATATTCCATAAATATTACGAGTTAACAGTCATTTTTCCTGTGCGACTCACCGGCTCTGGCGCAGACACCACCACATACCACCAGCCTCAACGGGGCTCAACTGACCCGCGCCGCGCCCCCGACCAGCGCCGGGGCGCCGGGCACCGCCCATATTCAGAAATGTTCATCCGCGTCAGCTATCATATTCGCAACTTAAATGTCCAGGAGATCCCTACTCGCATCAAACAATACATTTTACAATCCTGAGCACATTATTGGGCATAACATACACATTAACGAGTCAAATATCACAGTTTCCAGTTACTACTTTTCTGACCCTGCGGTCGCGACGGCGCAGCTACATTCCTGGGCCCTGCCCCAGGCTACGGTCGGCCGGTGACCTCGACAGGTCAGAGGGACCGAGCGAGCAATGTGCCAAGGCTGCGAAACCAAGGAAGAAAATAGGAAATCAGCAGAATGGTAAACGTGGACTACATAAGGAACATAAAATGACAAAATGGAAATGGCGCGCTTACACCACATAAACATACAACAAAGACGGCCATATAGCCTAACTCCGAACATGCACCACAGATAACTTAAGCCTTTGAAGGCACAAAAAATGTTTTGATTAACAGGACAGGTTTACAATATATCCTCTGTCCTTGGGGGATCTTGCTGCCAAGTTGAGGTATGATGACTGAACTTCAGGATTGATCAACCTTTTCTTAGCCACTGCTTATATACGAGAAAGACCAAATGCTTGTTTGTTTTGATTTACAGGACATGTATACAATATATCCTCTGTCCTTGGGGGATCTTGCTGCCAAGTTGAGGTACGATGACTGAACTTCAGGATTGATCAACCTTTTCTTAGCCACTGCTTATAAACAAGAAAGACCAAATGCTTGTTTGTAAACTGCGTTGAAAATTTAATGATCCACCTTCAATTCTGACATGAAGGCACAAATGAAATAGTTCCCTCTCCTTTTGGAATACACAAAGTAAAATATTTAATAAATTTTAGTGGATGGACAAGAGCAATTGGCATAGCTTTCCCTCAAGTTAACTTCTGGCACTGTTGATGAATTACACTGACGCTTATTCGCTTCATATTTTGTAACAAACGCGCTAAAACTGCAATATAACAGCACTATATGCTTCTTGACAAAATGAAATAGTATTAAAAATTTAGCCCTGATGGCATTCATTCTTGGTGGAAACGTAATTACAAAATATTTTGTAGTAACTATTAAATTCCGGCCGAAAACAGTGCACGGTTTAAAAAAGAATCATTCCAATGACGGTCCATTCTTGCGGTCCTGAAATCGCCACTATTTCCGGCCTCTCCAACGCAACTCGTTGTCCAGACGTAAATATGCATCACTGCACAAAACAGAGCAGAAAACATCAGTTGATCAAACACAAGACATAACAGAAGTTTACAACATAGGGCTGCCGAACCTGCTTCCTCCCACCACAGTTGATGCCATTTCCTAGCCTGGCTTGATGTGAGCACTGAATAGCTGCTTTGTCTAATTACAGCTCACTACCATTCAACTTAAACTACTCTCTTTAAAGCAAGAGTGAGAGCGTTCAGTGTTCATAGCAGCTCGACAGACGACAGACAACAAACATCTTGACAAACCAACCAGTATTTGATTTGGCTAATGATTTATGTGCTTGTTGTATCATGGCCAAACTACTTTAACAGCAATAATCCCTGTTTCATCTTGATCTTGCTTTTATTTCCATTTGAACTCAGATCTTGAAACAATCATCTGAAGTGATATCAGATACTGGCTTCTGTTTCTCTTGAAAGCAAGTTAAAACAACAATGATAAACTAAGGCAGGAGATGTGAGTTGTGGCAGTAGATTTTTGATTCAACATATGTCAACCTTATATTGCTTGAGACCTCTGTGACAGACAAACAAATATTTATAGTTTTTTGATAGTTTGGATTCTTGGCTTGATTTAGCAGATCAGCTGTGAACCTTGACTTTGAAATCACATAAATGTCATGGTACCCGAACGAATCCTCGCATGACATTTCTTCGTAGCACAATTTTTCGTCCGCATTTCTTCGTCTACAAATCTTCGTCGGTGCATTTATTTGTCCCTCAGTGCTTACTCTTGCATATATTTGCGTTGAAGAAATGCGAGCCGATTTTCATATACCCTGTTGCGAGACAAAGTAATGCGATAGGTACGAATAAATGCCCTGACGAAGATTTGCAGACGAAGAATTGCGTTACGAAGAAATGCCATAAGAATTGTCCTGGAACCCTTTATTGGCCATCATATATTGACCTTGATAAGATAAACGCATCATTCGCGCAATATTTGTCGCACTTTGATACCAAACTATTGCTTCCAAATGCCGACGTAAAGAAAACCTTTATGTGACGTCATAGAAACAGCGGATTTCCCAAAAAGTAAACAAAAATAAAAGTCTTATATCTTGAAAACGGGTGAATATTTTCCGGTAAAATTTGGTAGATGTTCATTTTCGCTCTTTGTGATTCACGCTACATCACTTTTATGCCAATTCATTAACTTTTTTGAAGGTGGGAGGGTCCCTTTAATGTGCGGACAGCTGACAGGTATATAGTTCGTTTTTTTCTAAGTTCGACCCTCACTGTAAACATCTTTTTGAACATAGCACGAGAATTGCTATCTGAATTACTTAGAAAACTGGTTAGCGCACATTGTACTGGAGACATGAATAATATTTTCCAAATAAGATTTTTAACACCGATGATATACCGTTCTGTTAAACGCCGTGCGATCTATTGGTCAGTTCATTTATAATTTCTGACAAGACGTCTATCCCTGTGGGGTTGTATATAAAGGCAACTACGAGCTAGCAGTCTGGAAAATAAGAGCCAGGGAGAAATAATTTTGAGTAAAATTAATCGTCTGTGAAATCAATGTGCGCTAGCCAGTTTTCTCAGTAATTCAGCCAGCGATTCTCGTGCTGTGTTCAAAGAGACGATTACAGTGAGGGTCGAACTTAAGAAAAACGAACTATAGCTCATCTCACCCAGCGGATACATCTGGCGGTGGGCGGCATGGACCGAGCACCGTCCACCTCCGGCCAATACCGCTCCCCTCCACCGCCACTCCAGCCGCTCTGCGCGGCCGGCCATGGCGCCCGGCCTCCCCTGCCACCGTCCGCAGCCCTGCCCGGCCGGCCATGGCGCCCGGCCTCTCCCTACCACCGCCCCGGCGCCCCGCACCGTCCGCAGCCCTGCACGGCCGGCCATGGCGCCGTCGGCCTCTCCCTACCACCGCCCTGCACCGTCCGCGGTCCTGCACGGCCGGCCATGGCGCCGTCGGCCTCATCAGCGGCCGGTCACGCCTCGCGGCCATCGGTCCGGCCCGGCACGTCGGACACTATTGAAAAATGCCGGCCGCCATCTGGACGGTCGGCGGCCGGCGCCCGGTAATATCGACCGCCGCCGGCCGCCGCTCGGCCCCCTAGTCATACCACTCGGCTCCCAGTTATATCACCCGGTTACCCGGCACAGAAATAATATCCCCGTCACCCCATCCTCCCACACTCACACACACATTCCCCAGACAACGGGGTCATCTCCCCGACATTCTTATCACCTCCCCGACACCGAGATCATCCCCCAAGACCAGGGTCATCAGCTCTCCAATAACTCATAATCTTTCCGTCATCCCATCATTTTTCCATTGTCCTACGAATTCTTCGACACTGGGATAATCTACACGACATCCCATAACCTCCCTTTAACCCGCGACCGCCTGGGGGGGGGGGGTCGGATCCGACCCCCCTACGTTTTTCTTAAATAACTCATGATCCACTTGCGCTATCAACTTGAAACTTGGCATACCTTCTCCCCCATCAATTTGACGTCTCCTGTGCAATTTTTAAGATTTTTTTCATTTTTTTTAGATATATCGATTTTAGTGATGTAACTTCATGGCGTTTTCAGTCAAAAAGTGGTAAATGTTTAAAAATCGCCAAAAATCGAGGTTTTAAGCAAATTGCAAATTAAGGACGCGAAAAGACGCAGCTCAACGAGTTCTTTAAAATGGCTATCTCGGATTTTCCATAAAATGCGTTTTTGACCCCTAAAAATTCAAAAACTATATTTTTTGGATAACAGCTAATAAAATCCAAAATTTTGAGAATTTCCAAAAAACCGGAATATATATTATAGAGCTCTATTACAACATAAGATGTCCCAAATTTCAACTTTCTATCTTGATTTTTGACCCCAAATTTTAAAAAATAGCCCCAACATGCATAGGGCATGGTGACGTCATAAGCATTTTCGCGAATTAGAGGCACTTCTGAACATCGCATGTGAAAACAAATGGCACCACTAGATTTCTGGGACAAAGCTCGTCTAGAAAAGTGCATTTTTATGTCAAAAATAAAAAGTTGAAAAATTGACTTTTTTTCTTAGCCCTCGTTTAGTTAGGGTGAAGTCGTATAAGACTACGCACTTAGTGGATTTCTTGCTCTCATTTGTTTGATATTTGAAAGAAAGAAATCGCAAATAGGGAATATTAAAGTTCATTGAATTAGCCATCAACCCATGGGGCAACGATCCTTTAGCGTAAATGGAAGTGGTCTAAAACTGACATTTTCTGAACCGCTGCAGTTGCGTACTCTTACCATATGGGGTGTGTAAGAGTACGCACGCCAGGCGGGTGCAGAGTACGCAAGCATATGAACACACACCTATGCAGCTTGTACTGTCCAAATGCTTAACTTCAAACTCAGAAGGCATTTAAGTTAATTCTAGTATCCAAAAAGAAAAACATAAAATAAATCTTTCAAGTCTATAAATCAGGAACTAATCATGGCGTGTGTTTCTTAAAAAAAATGCACAATCAAAAGGGAGAATAACTCGTATTTGGAAGAATTTCGGGTACGCATCTGCATCACAGTGCTCCATTGATGATATACCTACAAAACAAACGTCACTGAGCGATAGATTAATAATTTTATATTTCTGTATATTCGATTTAGTGTATAATTCTGCGTACTCTTACCCTCCTGAACAGTGCGTCCTCTTACCGTACATGCAATTCGCGCACAAAACAACCCCGAAACGTTGTGCAAAACTTCGCAAACAGAATATTGCACTGCACAGTATTTCCCCAGATAACCTCACAAGTTTCCCACGACAATCACGGAAATGTACCTTATCTCAACTGCCAAGTATCAAAATTATTGTACCATACCATAATAATATCATAACGCTCGAAAATAATATTCATCGCCTTAAACTCAACAGCGTCGCTCAACGCCCACGTTCCGTTGGTGACAAGCACGCACTGGCGGCTTCATGTCACTTCATGAACTCGACAAACCCGCGTTGCTAAGCAACCGAAACAGCTGATGCGTACTCTTATCGCCCGCGTACTCTTACCCGCCCTTACCCTATGTATGGTATAAACGATTTTTTATGCTTTCAATGCACACTTATCACCAACACAGTGACTTGGGGTCACATATAACCATTACCATCCGATTTGGCGTGAAAAATAAGCCATAAAACATGTGTCGCACGCCCATGTAGCAGAAAGTGAAAACCATGACCTTTCGTGACCTGACCTGACCTTGACCCGTACTTAGTATGACCCCTATACGCACATGGTACCTTCATTAGGTCTTTGAGGTCATTTGTGGTGAGTTTCGAGCAGCAGCTATCGATTCCGCTGTCCGTAAGCCTAATCATGCAAAACCCCTGAATTTGACCTTTGACCTGACCTTGACCCGAAAGTTGACCTCAATCTTAAAATCTTAAGAGTGCTTTGGGAAGGTCTCGTAGAGACCTTTCGAACGCCGCCTCGCGGGGCTCGATACGACCATTGGTTCTCGAGATAACAGGGGGGGGGTCGGATCCGACCCCCCCAGGCTGTCGTGGGTACAGAAATAGCCCAGGCGGTGCCGGGTTAAAGTTTAACCTCATCATCTCCGGTTGACCTCATCAGTTCCCACCACCCCACTCATCTACTATATCACCAGTATGTGCTCCCCTTCGCCCGTTCAAGCTTTCCGGAACCTCGCTCACGCTTTCAGTCGCTGTAACGCCCATCGGGGCATGACTGTCGTGTCGTGTTCAATGCATTCTGTCGCTATCCAGTGCAGATTCGACAATAAAACTGACTGTCAGTATAACTTCTGCATCTTTCTCAGGGGTCATGTCCGTTTTCACTTCGGTTCATCGCCAGCCTACAAGACCTGACGTACCCTGAAAAGCTCCATCTTAACTTTGTCGTAGTTTCTTTTCGACGAAGCCCTGAGCTGTGAAGCCATTTTGCAGCTGTCAGTAATAGTTTTGCTAAACCGGCAAACGGATGAGGCAGTGATGGGCTTCTGTGATCCCATTACGATGTTTACGTCAACAAATGTGCGGGTAATGAATATTGATGACTTCCTAATTTGAGTCCCTATATCAGTTGATTGGCCTTAGCAGTGATGCACGTCATCCAATTGACAGGGAAGCGGTTTGTGGTCTGTCTAATTAGTAATTATCCGCCCAGCCGAACACCCATACCACCAATAAACATCTCAAATCCATCCCTCTATCGGCCGCGGACGGACGACACGGACAGAGGCGGTGACACTGACCATTGCCAGGAGAGCGGACTGCAGTTCGACCGGTGCCGTGAGGAGCGCTGAGCTCGTCTCCCCTAGTGTGATACCGACCGTCCCCTGCGGGAGTGTCTGTGACCCCACTGTTGCCGTGGGCCCTCGCTCCAGCAGCCGCACACCGGTGCCCATCGTTCCTAGAAAAAGAGACAAACATCGACCAAAGCGTCAGACAATGGGACACATTAGATTAGTCGCTACCGAATGTCCGCAGCTGAGCAGAGCGAGACATCAATGGTACACGCAAAAACCCAAAAACCGAGCAAAACATCCAATTGACCGAGTAATCATGTTTGCTGCATCCACAACAGATGCTGGCAGACTTCGCTATCAATATCCGCTAATACGCCGCCAAATTTCGCCATTGCCACTGCTATGTTAGCTCACTCAGAGTTAGGTATCGCTCCCACCCACGTGCCTATCGCCCCCACGTGCCGTTAAAAATGGGCGCGCCGCCGCCGGTCTGTGACCCGACTGCGGAGGAGGCCGTCGGTTAGTTACAGGGTTCGGGCGTGGCCGGCTCTCGACTACCCGCTTCCCAGACAGGGAGACGGGGTGACAGTCAGAAGCACCGCGCGGCCGCCACGGGACAAACAGCTGGGGCAACGGAGCCGGACCAGACAAACAAACGCCACGGGGTCTCAGCGGTGACGGTTAAGAATACGGTAATCCCAAGCTAGAATCGCTCCGTAAACAAATATGTTGATTTGGGTTACCAATTACCATCAAGATGAAAACTGACGAGGTTAAACGCCGCTCAATGCTTATTTCTCCACGACTCGAGAAGAAACATTTTCATCGCCGAAAATATCACAATGACGAAAATATTTCTGTCGACTGACGTCAGCTCCACCGAGTACCACCACAAACACAGTCTCCTCTTAGTTTTCGCCAACAGGTGGTCAATTCGACCGCCGCTCGGCCGGCAGCTGGTTGTCGCTCCGTTTGGCGGCTGACGATTCCCGTTTACGACCGGCCGGGCCCCATCTGTCATACGTCGCGCGCTGTAACCGAGCCGCCGCGGCCGGTCGACCGGCCACGGGCCCGCGCTACAACGGACAGGACAATTTATTGCGGTGCCTGTTGCTGCGATCGTCCGAGCAGAGAGTCTCCTGAGAAATTACAGATGTCAGACGACCTGAGGCCGCCACAAAGAGATGAAATTAACCGGAAAGTTGAGCTGATGTTAGGAGAATGTAGTGGATGGAGTCGTACTTTTGTTATCTTCAAACATTGAACGAAGAACTGTTGGTGAAATATGGATATTGGATATGATAATAAGACAGACAACTTGAAGTAGCTTCCAACGCCGCGCAGAGCTCCAGTCCACGGCATATCGGTAGATGATTAGATAAAATCAGTCCCACACCAATCCAACCTACTCAATTTGGCAGATGTTTGCTGACAGAGCAGCCGGACCCACCTGGTTTGTTGGCCGCCAGGATAAGGTCGACACCGGCTGGAGGGCGCGCCTGCAGCACTGGAGGGGAGCGGAGGCCGCCGCCGAGTCCGCGGCACGGCACCGACACCCCGGGAGCACCGTTCACCGGAGCTGCGGGGCACACGGGTCAGGTCAGATGTCACACCGTTCACCTGGGCTCGGTTAGAGGTCAGGTCAGAGTCAGATCAGAGTCAGGTCAGAGGTCAGCGTGTTCACCGGAGCTGCGGGTCCGAGTCAGATGGCACATTTACCGGTGCTTAACTCTCGCTCGTCCAGGATCGCTGTTTCAGCCAAAAGTTCGACAGTCAACGGTCTGTCCGTCGGCTCGTCTGTCCGTTCGCACGCCCGTCCGTCAGTCCGCCAGTCCGTATGCCCAGACAGGCCGCACTGTCCGTCAGTCCGTACCTGTCCGTCAGTCCGTACCTGTCGGTAATGGTAACCGGACCGGGTCTCACCACACCCGTGTTCGGCCCGTGCTAATGACCCCTCTGCCGAGCCACGGGACACGGAGAGCGGCGTGAGGGCCTATCAGAGCCCTGGATCGATACACTCCGGGGGAAGGTCGCACTTCGCGTGGGCGTGGGTTCCTCCCCGACTCCAGAGCATGTTAGCGTCATAGATACTAATGAGTAAAATACGAAAATACTACAAATAACAGTTATTTGCGCTAAGAACAGGCCATATATTCAAAAGAGCATAACTGACGATGAATACGGAATACTGCTATCCGTGACCTAAGCTGATTTGCAGCAAGGAATTCGCATATTCAAAGAAGGGTAGCTAGTTAGAGACGGATAGCGGGAGAGAACAGAGACAAGGGCCGCAGGACAAGAATCAGCAACGTGGTAAGGAACACAGAGCATGAGGCAAGACAGTTACGAGGTGATAAGAGCGCGCCCTCACAGGTGTGCAGCTCGTGGGCGGCCTTGGCGGCTACCGGCGGCGGCGGTGGGTGGTGTTTGATGACGTTCATGCGCCGCTGGATGCCCGGCTGGTCCCGGCGCAGGCCGCGCCTCGTGTTCTCCACGGGCAGGACGCGCCGCCGCTTCTTGGGCAGCTTGGAGCGGGCCTGGGACAGACGGAGCGTGGTGAAACACGGGTCACATCAGTGGCCTGAGGTCAGCAGGAGCGGGTTATCACAGAAGTATGTCAGACAGGGTTACAGTGGTCTGAGTCAGACGACGCAGGTCGCACTCGCAGCAATACCTAATAAGTTAGACAGGAGTAACTACACTGCAGCTGGATGTCAGTGCAATGGTCACTGCCGGATAGGTACTGCCACACGGCTGACCGCACCCTGCGAGACTGCAACAAAACCACAAACTAATATTATAACCTCATGGAACTCTTCGACGTACAAAGGGTTCGCAGCAGGAACATCCTTTGTGTAAAATTTATCGAAACTGATATATGTATAGCAGTCGACTCAGCTCCAAGAGCCGCGTAGGAAGCGGAACACCTGTACCGTTAGCTGCTTTCGAGTGCAATACCGGCCAAGTGATATTTTGTGTCACAACGGCTTCAGAACCCTCTTACTTTTCCTGTAAAACACTAAAAACAGCGCTTAGTATGATCTTGGAGGGAACTGTCCGTGCATACATCAGAGACTGGGTCCGGGGTCGTTCACAGAATTCGCATACATCCTCCGATTTCAGCTCTGTCTGAAAGGACGCGCATCTCACACAGTTCACCGACTCCCGAATCCCCAATACTGGCCCAATCGTGCCACTCTACCATATAAGTTCGTAATGTCGCGGTCCTCCGACCATCGACCTCTGCACGGGGAGACGGTGCACTCTCAGCCGGGCCGGGTAGGGCCGGGCTGGGGCGGCTGGCCGGTGGCGCAGGCCGACGGTAAGGTAGCCCGGGCTGTCTGCCGTGCAGCGCAGATGGAGACAGATCGTCGGCCCACGGTACCGGCACCGACGGCCGTGCAACGGCGGTCAGCGACGGTCACTCAAGGTTAGAGACGGTCAGCGACGATTACTCAAGGTTACCGACATTCGGCGACGGTCACTAAAGGCTACCGACGGTCACCAAGGTTACCAACGGTCACTGAAGGCTACCAACGGTCACTCAAGGCTACCGACGGGCGACGGTCACCAAGGTTAGCGATGGTCAGTGACAGTCACCGACGGTTACCGGCCGTTACCGGTGATAAGCGATGGTTACCGACGGTCACCGATGGAAGGCAACGATCACCTAAGGTGACCGACGACCAAGGCGGACCCTGTCCTGTGATTGGGGCGCAAACTCATCGCCGAGAAGTTGCTAAGCGAGCTGGCAGGCGGCGGGTCATTATTTGATGGTCGGCAACAAGATGTTGTTGTGCGGGAAATCTCTGTTAGTTCATGTCTCTGAATGTAGTTACTGAGATCTTTAAGTGCACTATCCTCGCAAAACCTCAACATCGCTTTGGTCCAAGGGCTTTGGTCGGTAGACGGGGGGGGGGGAGGCGTGTCGCAGCGCTGAAACGACCACGGCTTTGGCAACATAAGCAAGCCAGCGCAGAGGTCATAGCCGTGTTTGAAATGATTCCAGCCACGGATATAGGAGTTGCTAAGCAAAGCCGCAAATGTAAAACATAAATTTTGATGGTTTACTTTATCTAGGTAGCTAGTCACGCAGTGAAAATCATTGATACTTCTTTTGCTTTTATTGTACTGGGTACCTAGCGACTGCTGTTTTCTGTTGGCAAAATTTCTATTTTTTAGGTTCGGTAAGCAACACAACAGATGCCATCATGCCACCCACCGATATCTTAATGTTTTAAATTTAGTCCCAATAAATAAACTCTATCACGATGCATCTCGAACAGTCCGGTTCGACTTCTACCGGCGTCACACGCGCACCCAATTAAGAAGTTACTTCTGAATGGGGAAACTTTCTCTGAAACAAATGGGGTTTCGTCACCCGGCCGACTGATCGATTCCCGTCCCCTCCCCAGGCAGCCTTAGGAGGGGGATGGGGGCTTTCCACCGTGGCACCGCTGTACTCTGTTGCCGTTTGGTGCTCCAGGCGCGATGTTTGTCGGGGATTGCGGCGAGCCAGAATTGGAAAAATACGCGTAAATTGCAGATATGCGCTGGACCTGGACATGGACTATTCTATAGAGCCTTGCGCTGGACGACTTTGCAGATAAAGATCGATGCGTGACGTTTCACGTCAACTTTTCATGCAATCTGAATATTATGAATATAAAATGGGCCAATTGAACGTGAAGCAATTATTTTTCTGAGACTTTGAGAGACTACATCCACCTCCGGAAAAAAATATTTGGCATACGGGTAAGGTTTCTCTGAAGCGAAAGACCGATCGCTTCTTGCACGTCTAAAAGGAACAAATATTGAGATACACCGGTTGTAATTTGTAGTAAGTACAAATAGTCTCGGAGCACTCAAGCGGCTGGCGATTGCCTAGCTAAATTCAAAGCTATACGGTAATGACCCCTGTAAGTGAGCTTCCGCTCAACCGGCGTGAGTAGCCACATCTCACAGCACGCCGGGCACGGACCTCTACCTGAGTGGTGAGTGGAAACCGCATGACACTGCCCGCTCCCCGGGGCGCGCTAACAAGCCCCTCCCCCCCTCCCCATGTCCCCCGTGGCGTGACATTCGGGTCATCTGTGGACTCCCCAGAGTTCTCCCGGCCGGCCGCTGCGGCAAATATTGACAGCAGCACTGCGACTGATCCGATCAGCCGGGACACACTATCCATCTCGGCGACATCCGCGACTCAGAGTCGACCCTGCTGCCACGAGTCAGCCTCTGCGACTCTCCGAGTCGGCTTCTGTGACTCCCGAGTCGAATTGGGTGCGTGTGAGGTGTGTACGGCATCTGTCCGCGGACGACTGTGTTTTGCGAACGGTTAGCGCTACGTAAACGGAGCAGCAGGGCGGTGGAGGGGCGGGGTGGGTGGAGAGGGGACACCAGTTGGAGCCGTGAGCGCTCAGCAGCATCTCCGGTGATAAACATAGTCTGAGAGCGCGCCGGCTGCCTCCGTTGTCGGAATCCATTAGCCGACCACCCGACGGGAAAGAATGGCCACGGACGTTTACCGCACGTGTTCCGAGAGCTAACCCACAATTAGCGTCCGCTTTCAGAGGCTAATTTTACTGCTTAGCCACATGGATGAATGTTCAGGTCAAGAGGAAAAGTCAGAAGAGTTTTAACTACCAGCTGACGTTGTAGCAGACGAACCCGAGACGCAACAGTTTCTCGAAATACACCAAGCTGATCAGCATCAGATGAAACCGACACAAATGTCTGACCTTCGACGGCAACATCAACAAACATTAGATCACCGCTCGTTAGTCCCCCGGGATCCCCCACCCTGGACCTACGTCCTACACTCGTCGTTAAGCCGAGGAGAATCCCCCGCCTCAGGCTCACCTGTGTGTGGGAGTAGACGTTGGAGAAGTTGGAGACGATGACGGGCACGGGCAGCGAGATGGTGAGCACGCCGGCGATGGCGCACAGCGCGCCCACCAGCATCCCCACGTACGTCTTGGGCACCATGTCGCCGTAGCCGACGGTGGTCATGGTGACGATGGCCCACCACAGGCCCTCCGGGATGCTCTTGAAGTCGTTGTACGGGTTGGCCTGCAGTCGCTCGGCGTAGTAGACCAGCGACGCGAAGATGACGATGCCGAGTATGAGGAAGAAGACGAGGAGGGTGAGCTCTTTGGCACTGGCTTTGAACGTGTGGATGAGGATCTTCAGTCCGGGCGAGTGCCGGGTCAGCTTGAAGAGCCGCAGGATGCGGATGATGCTGAAAAACTCTAGGATGTCGGCGTTGGTGAGGTCCCTGCGGAACTTCACCAGTAGGTAGTCAGTCAGCATGTCCGTGTAGAAGCTGAGCGTGGCGATGAAGTCGATGATGTTGACCGGCGACTTGATGAAGTCGAGCTTGACGGGACTGACGATGAAGCGGATGATGATCTCGAATGTGAACCAGACGTTGCAGGCGAGCTCGACGTAGAGGAAGGCGCGGTGCGGGTCGGTGCGGCTCTTGTCCAGCGTCCAGACGGCGCTCCGGTTGCCGTCCATGGTGGTGACGTTACGGATCACGGGCACGCGCATGTTGGGGTGCGTCTTCAGGCAGAACGACAGGATGGAGACCACAATGAAAAACACCGATATCACAGCCACCACCTGCCGACACAACGAATCTGCTCAGTAAAGCACCTCTCGAAGTAGAACCCCAAATAATCAACCCAATAGTTCAATTAAATGTAGGTAAGCACCAGCAGTACAGGGAAGAATAGCAGCCAGTGACCAAGGCCGCCCATTTCTACGGTGAGCTCGCACCGCAGACAACTCCACCCGACGGCAGCCACCGGCAGAGTCGATAGCTCTGGCTCGGTGGCACCCAGAGGCCGGCCAATTTCAGATATTCATGAACTATCATGATTTACGAAGGAATAAAATTACCGCCCCTGTGGCCGTAGAATTGATACCGAATAATTTATGTGGCACGGCAGTCGTACGTTTTGCAACATGAAAATGCAAAATGTTTGTGGGATTGGGGGCTGAACTTGAAAAGGTAAAAATATCTACCGGTACTGCATAATGCTCATTTACACAATTGTTAAAATGTCGTTCTAGATAAGCAAGATGGCAAGATATAGCGCAGGTGAGCAGCATTGAAATTTCAACGTTCAATGCACATATAAATTCCGACTTTCCGCTACTTTCCACCGCTCGAATTGAACACCATGAAAGCCAGTTATAATAGATGAACACTTGCCAATCACAGAACAGGTAACTGACAGCTCGGGCATTGCTTGCCCCCGGCATATTTAACGGCCAAATGCGGTTTCTGCGCTGCATCTCCCGTTTTGCGCAGCACCACGTTAGCCGGAGAATCCCGCGAGAGCCGAGTGCTAACTGCACATCCAGTGGAAAGCCAAGCATCCGCGCAATTAGAACGGCTGCTCTTCAACAGGAGGCGCCGAATACGGTCCGAATTTAACGAGTCTCAAATGGCCAACGTGACAGTAAAGAGCGGATTTAAAAGCTTAGCGTTTTATTTTTATTATTTCCAAATGACAAAATGGGGTTTTAATGAGCGACATAGAGCAATAGCACAGCAGTGATACCAATTGCATAGACTCCTATCCGCTCAATCTAGTCAACCTGGTTTGTAATGTCCCCTGAATTGCTATAAACAGTAACAGATTGGCCGCACCTTGGCAGCGGAGCAGGAGTAGGGCTCGTCGAAGAGACTCCATATTTTCGGCTTGACCTTCTGCCAGCAGGAGAGGTTGCCGCTGAGGTAGTCCTCCTCGAAGCCGAACTTCCTGGCCACCTCCTCCTCGGAGGGACGCTCAGAGTCCAGGTCCAGCTTGTCCAGAATGGCCAGCGTCGTCTTCGGGTACAGACAGGGCAGTGTAAGCATCAAATGGCGGCCCCCAGACTGGAGTGGTCAGCGCTGCAGTGGGCAAGTTTTTGAATATACCGCAGCCACGCGATGGAAATACATATGCTGCATAGCTGAAAGCTTTAAATATTTAAACAGCCAGGAAACAGCGGCCGCACACCTCCCCTCCATTTAATTTTGAAGGCGAGATCCAGCGCACCACCAACAGAAAAACCTCCGGCTGAGGATATTTTAGACCTAAAGTCTCCGACAAGCCGTATAATCCGACAGTCGAGCTGAGCTCCGTTCCCAGCAGCGCGCACACCTCTCCCCTCCCCGCTCTGGCCCTGGTAACAGCCCACCCAGCGGCGGCCGATGCTCCACTGCTGAGCCGGGTGCCAGCCCCGGCCGCCAAACGACCCTCTCCTCAATGAATGGCGGCACCAATCGCAGAGGGGAGACCCGACCGGCAAACCGTCTACATTCGGTGACAATTTAGGCCGGCGGTAAAGAACAGTGGGAACACCCCACCATAGAACACCTTGAATAAAGCCCTTAAATGAATGGTTGGTGTAACATTTGACTAAGGTGTAGGTGGTAACTATTTATAGCCGAGCATCCTTTCAAATAGCCAGCCCTTTCTAAATGGTTAAGAGCAGAGTTTAAAAAAGCATGCCTGCTATATAAAAGAAAAATATTAAGTTGACGACTTAGATCGGTGCCGTATGCCCTACGCCACACGACTCCGCGCCCGGGGCGGCGGAGCCGGCAGCTCGGCCGGCGGCACTGCACCGCGCCGCTCGGCCCGAGTCGCAGCGTCCGGCGCCATCCTGATCACGTCCGAGCGAGCAGCTCGCCACAGAGCCCGCACGAGGATACAGCCCAGAGGGAGACTGCCGATTAGCTGCACTGGACCTAATCGGCAGCGCATCATGTGTGGCGCCTTCATACGTACGGCGGATACGACACTCTGATTGTATTTATATTGGAGCGGTGGGTCGTTTGTTTGTATTCCTGAGAGCAATATCAACGGAACAAAGACGGCTTGAGTCCGATTGATTTTCCCCGAGGCAATACGGATATACTACCAATGAAGATTGAACGTTTTCGCAAAGACTAACGCTTCGCCCGGCGAGGCTGCTTCCATAAGCCCTGTGAGATGGAACGCGTCTATGTTTGACTTACTTGACATTGCTGATTGTACTGTTTGTGGTTGAGCACCTTTTTTGTGAGTAGCGACAAAGAAAAGGTAGATAAACTCGCAAATAAATTAAATATTTTCTGCATTGGTACATACATAACGAAACACCGTATTTATAATTGGTAGGTATGTGCACGAAAAGCATTAGGTATGCTATTTCGGTCTCCTTTTCCAGGTTTCCAGGCAGCTAAGCCCTACTGATCCCGAGCGCCTTCTATGGAAGCCGTGCATGGTAAAAGCACTTGCGCTTTATGTACAAATGAAAACAAATGACGGCGCTTTGTGCGCTTACGTAACAATGTGTGCAGACCAGATTGTTCGCAGCATTCGAGAACCATCAACAAATCAGCCCCTAAATGACTGTGTTTGCTGTATATAACACTTCAGTGGCATCATACCTGAGTGTTCCTGTGTTTGGTGGTCATCCGTACCTGAGTGTCCCTGTGTTTGGTGTAGGTCAACCGTACCTGAGTGTCGGGCTGTGTTTGGTGTAGGTCATCCGTACCTGAGTGTCCCTGTGTTACCCGAGTGTCCCTGTGTTCGGTGTGAAACATCCGTACCTGGGTGTCCCTGTGTTCGGTGTGAGTCGTCCGTACCTGTGTGTCCCTGTGTTTGGTGTAGGTCATCCGTACCTGAGTGTCCCTGTGTTCGGTGTAGGTCATCCGTACCTGAGTGTTCCTGTGCTTGGTGTAGGTCATCCGTACCTGAGTGTTCCTGTGTTTGGTGTAGGTCATCCGTACCTGAGTGTCCCTGTGTTTGGTGTAGGTCATCCGTACCTGAGTGTCCCTGTGTTTGGTGTAGGTCATCCTTACCTGTGTGTCCCTGTGCTTGGTGTAGGTCATCCGTACCTGAGTGTCCCTGTGTTTGGTGTAGGTCATCCGTACCTGAGTGTCCCTGTGTTTGGTGTAGGTCATCCTTACCTGTGTGTCCCTGTGCTTGGTGTAGGTCATCCGTACCTGAGTGTCCCTGTGTTTGGTGTAGGTCATCCGTACCTGAGTGTTCCTGTGTTTGGTGTAGGTCATCCGTACCTGAGTGTCCCTGTGTTTGGTGTAGGTCATCCGTACCTGAGTGTCCCTGTGTTTGGTGTAGGTCATCCAGCAGCAGGGCTCCACCTGGTTCGAGTCGAGGCCCCAGAACTCCAGCTCCTCCTCGAACAGTGGACCGCACACATTGGTCGGATAGTGCAGCTTCCCCGTCCTGCGGGCGCACATCGCGAGGACTGTCACGTACGGGTGTGCTGACTAATGTAGTTATAACTACCCAAACGACGATTGGTACTGGATATTGATGAGCTGCTCGTTAATATAGAACACTGAATACATGCAAGACACAACAACTCTGAAATCTGAATAATCTGCCGGAAAAATTCAATGAATCGTCATTCTTGCTTGTGGTCGCACCAAAGGTGTGAAATGAAAAATTTAAGTGCGCGAATGGCCACACTCGATTCCAGAGCAAATAATTATTTATTGGTCCATCATTAATAATTAGTATTAGGTTATGAAATGCATTTAAGAGTTCAAATTCGTTTCCCTATGTCCGTAGTCAGATAGTCATAGCGCAGTCCCACCATTTTCACCTGCAGCTCACGGCTCGTAGCTGTGCGGTGGCAGTGTCTGTCAGCTCAGAGCGCCCAGTCACCCCGGCACGGGCCACTCTGACGGCTCTCTAACGAGCTGTGAGCGCGTCCAGCGGCCGCAGCGGACCGGCACTCACCGGTAATAGTTGAGGATCTGAGCGAACACGCCCGGGTGCCGGTCGAAGAAGAACTCGTTGAGCACGGGGTCGAAGTTGGCGAGCGCCTCGGTCAGCCGGGACAACCGCGTGGCCGGGATCTTCTTCAGCGTGGCCTTGTACGTCTCGAACCGGATGCCGCCCACATTGAGCAGGATTCGGTTCTCGCCGTCCATGGATGACGTCACCGGCCGCCTGTGACGTCACATGGAGCGGCGGTCGCTGTTCACGCGGAGCCACTGGGCGCTATAGGCCGGGCTGGGTCACCGGCCGGCCGGTACACCGTCCCGCATACACCCGGCGTGCGAGATGGCGGCCCCTCAGTCCACAGAAGACACCAGCGGCAGGCTGGAGCCGGCGTCCTGGCCGGTCAGTACCTTCAAACAGCAGGGTGGGGAAGAAACGTGTCACCGGTCGGCTGAATAGATGGGATGGGGTAGGGGGTGAGGGTCAGACAAGCGGCTCGTAATGAACGCCGGCGTCGGCTGCAGTCTCGGCGATATAGCGCACGCAGCGCAGCAGGCCGTGGCAGGCGGTTAATAGCACCAATCCATCACACGGCTAAGACACCCTCCCCAGTTTATAGCCCCGTGCAGCTGCCCTGATATCAGACCATTCACCTTGACCCATAATTGGTTCCCGGCAGACCGTAATATGCACCGGTATATGCTCGGGCAGTCCTTCCATAAGCCTGATCACCGAGACCAACAGGTCTAATTGCGGCCGTCCATTAGGTCGTTAATGCAAGTCACAGCCAATATCGAATCGACCGCACCGCATTAGACAGTGGGGTCGCGTATTGGTCCACGCGACGTACCGGAAGCTCCGGGCCGCTATCTGCCGGCCGACTGGGATCAGTGGGGCCGGCGGGTGGCCTGTCGCGGATACCTGTCCACCCTCTGAGCCGCCGGTCCTGATCCGCCGCCCGGACGGCATCGACACCGCCGCCGGCGCAGATATAGACCGATGACCCAATCCGGGGATCCGCATGCATGGGCCGCTCAATACAGCAGCTCTGAGCTGTGTCATTGCGTCAAAGGAAACAACATCTGTGTGCGACAGTTGGCGAGATATGGGCAGGCCATAGATCCCTATAGAGCACTATCTGTGCATGAAAGGAGAAATACCCAGACGGATTCTCTCCGATGGAATGGGAGCTCGCAGCTGAGCCGCTGCGTAGGTATGCTGTACCGCAATACACTGCGGTTCAGCGGCACAGCCTAACTGCCAGGCAGAATGGACCGACTCGCGAGGGACACTGCTACACCAAAACGGATTTTACACATAACGGCTAGCGGAGGCTTCCGGCATGAGATAAAGGATAAGACACATTTCCACGACTGTACAGAATAGGCCGCCTGTATGCCACCTAAGATTGGGACTGAAACCCTAGTTAGCAGCTCGTCAGGCCTCCGGGTCTAGTTCTCGAAACACAGGTCGGCTTTGGTATCCGGGTTTAATTCTGAAAACACAGGTCAGCTTCCATATCCGGTTCGCTTCTGGAAATGCTGCGAGTTCGGTGAGTGATCAGCTGCACTGGCACTCACCAAACCAGCGCGTGCGAGCGAACAATAGCAATAAGCAGCGGAACTTTGGTACGAAACTCGACAATGTCACAATCTCAGAGCACGCTACAGTCAAGGAGATGCTCTGAACAGCCATTGCTGCACGGAGATGAAGTTAAACACGCGGGCATGAAGTGAACTTTCTACAGAGAGCTTTCCCCGACATATTATTGACCGATTTCATCTGCCCTTGGACGACCAACTATGCGCGGTATTTTATTATATTTATTGCACATAGCGAGGTCTCCGTCTAGTTAAGTGCCTTATCAAATATCGAAATCATTGTCTCAAATTATGTTATTTCTACCACCGCCTCAAGACACGGCTCGGAGAGGGAATATCGGCCTGTCTGGGAGCCTGACCCGGACTTATGGCTGCCCACAGCCGCCGTTCGGGAGACCTGAGCGGCCCGGCACGTCCGGTCCGCACGAGTGGCTTCAGAATCGTGTCCCGTCAGCGCGGCCGTGAAGGGTGACGGCGACAGCGTCCGACGGCCGTGACAGACCGGTGCGGGGAGAGTACACTGCGACCGGCGCTCCTCATGGTACTCCACAGTGCTCCGTGGTACTCCGTGGCACTCCACGGTACTGCGTGGACGTGCAGTACACCTCGGTACTTCACAGAAGTCCGCGGTACTGTGTGGTACTCCTATGGCATTTCTCAGACGCTCAGCTGACCTTTGGCAGATCAGTCATATAAATATCTGGTTATTGTAGCATGGCCATGCCCAGGCTTTTGCCTCCTTGTCATAGGTGCATTTGTTTTATCCCTGGGCATGCAGTGGGGATTTTTCCGATCTAGCACGTATTTATTCGTAGAGGGCAAACCATAGGTAGAATTGTAGCCAGATTGTGCACAGATGTTGGCTGGTGTGTCCTGGTGAGAATTTTACCTGTAAATGTGCATAATCAACATAGTATAGGGGGTTCAATTGGACCCCCCGCTCAGCCGTTTGGCCCCTGATCAAGCTAGAGCTTCGCGGAAAAGTCAAGCGTGCTGCCTATGACGAAATTAGGCCGAATATATCCAATTTCAAAGTCCAAGGTCATAAGCTGACTTTCCAAGTCAGTTTAATGACCCAACTAAAGTTGGGAAATCGAGACCTCTTGAAACTTCGCAAAGTTAGGGTGTTACGGGGTATTTTGGGGTGCTGATCACGAATTTCATGTTAGTTTTGATCACAGACGATGTCTTTATGCATTTAGGCCAGGTCGGGTCAGGTCAGGTTAGATCAATTAGTAGGCGTCCTGCCGGCCATCCATAGAAGTGTCGCCTACTACTGATAGCTTCGTAACATGAAACGAAGGCACTAGAACTACTTCGTAAATATTCAAATGGCTGCTAAAATCGAAATCAGCACCAAAAACTACTCTAGAAACAAGTAAAACTCGAAAAAGTGAACCAAGGTCATCAAAGGTCAATGACCTTGACTTGACCTTCACGTGACCTTGACACCCACCATTTTGCATGGCACCAACATCATTTCACATATTTGAACGTTTAAAACCACAAAAACCGCGGATAATGTGAGCTGGCATACGCCGAATCGCGATTCCGGCCAAACATGGTCTCGAGAAATATGCCACAGGTCAAAGGTCAGTTGGGTCAGAGTCATGAAATTTTTAGGTTAGATGTAAAATTGATGATCTCGAGGGTACCGAAAGTTTCGGCGCGATCGGCTGCTTTTTGCGCGAGTAATTTGCGGAAAACCGTGGGGTTTTATCCGACCCCTTCCCCCTCCCCCTCCCCACAAGTGCGATGGTTAATAAGGTTACGGTATGTATAATTTACGCTTGTCATCCTATTCCTAATGAATGTGTCTCAGAAAATATGCATCATATAAATCACGAAGTAAATTTATTCGCCTATGTCCGGAACATACCTATATCGTGCTGTTTGCCCTAGCGCTCCTCGAGTGGGGTGTTAAGATACTCTAATGTGAATATTCCGTGTTCAGGCAAGTTTCGGCAGCCAAACTAGGCGTCGTCTTGTGCAGAAGAAAGTGGCGAATTCGATAGGATATATTTCGGAGTGGAAAAAAACATTGTTGATTTCCCACATTTATTTAGAATACCATTCCTTCAATATGGTGTCTGTAAGGTTTTTTGTAAAGGGCATTTTTGTGACCTTAGTAAGGTTGTGGCATACTTTCTGTTTGCCATTCCATTCCTAATAAAGGTGCCTTTCAGACGATATGCAACTTTAAGACCTCGCAAGATTAAAACCAACAGGACAGGACAATGAAATTGAGCTATACTTTCGGGCCTTGCTGAGCCCATTGAGTAATCACGCATGACTCATGAGTGTGAACTTTGGGCGCATTTTTCCTAGTTTTGCTGTGGACATACAGATAAGCCAATGCAATATATAAAAAATTCAGACATTTCTTAGCCCTACTGACACAAAAAAATAAACAAAAATCCAAAAAATATTTTTTGAATTAATAGGCGCTAGATCGGAAAAAAATCCCCACTGTGCTGGGGCTTGACCTGGTGGCATGCAAAAATAACACCCTACCCTATAGCATATGCCTACCGACACAAGAAAAAGAAGAAGCCAAAACTGATAATGGAGAGTGTGAAAGGAGAAAAGAGAAGAGACAAAATACGAAAGAAAGAAAAAGGAAGCGAATTAATCAATAAAGAAAAGGAAATAATGTTCAGCGAGACCCTGGACGGAGACGTGGCCAGACGTGGCAGCCCGATTCTGGTGTCGCCAGGGAGGGCTGTGTTTCGAGTCAGATGTAGGTAGTCGGTTCCAGTCGGCCAGATTCGGCCGGCTTCGGTCCAACAGCGGTTGGCCAGCGTTACAGCAGCTGCAGCTTGACGGCAGGTAGGTATAAAATCAAATTATTAGGTACTTTCAACTGCCAATGTGCTGAACAGAATGACGGTGACCGTTGCCATGGCAACTAATGTCCGATTCCAATCACATTGAAGTGCCTAACCAGTCATGTAAGCGAACCCGGTGCCCTTGATGACGCATTTGATCATCGCGAGCCCGCGCTGGCACGGCTTTCGCTGCCGTCTGTTGCCCGGGAGTTATGCACCATGCCGCGGCATACCGACAGACAATATCAGCAAAGATCCGTTGACGCCACAGGTCGGACAGGCGAGCGTCAACAGTGCTTGATAGATTTAAACAGAGCTGTCTCCCATACAAAAACTGAGGACGTCAGTCTCCAGAACAAGACGGGATCGTCTGCCCGCCTCCGATGAAGGTGTGGCATTAAGTTCACATAGACGATATAAATATATCGTCTTGTAAATTAAACCTATTTGGAGATTTGCATATTCGTGTGTATTACATGCAGAATTTGCATTTTACATCAAACTTTTTCAAGCAATAAATCAAGCAATTGCAAGCGAAATTAGCTAGGGCTGACAGCCCGCTCAGCAAACTCATCTAGCAATTAATCAGTATTCGTCTAGCTACCCATCCATATACATATCTAATATGCATCAATTCAAATCACCGCCGACTGTGTGACCGCCGCGCGGGCGGACCTTCCTGACCCGGGAGTGAATCTCGTCCCTCCCGAGGGTCGGGATGTGACGCCGGGGCCACGGCCGTGCTGCCACAGAGGGTTCCACACCGGCCAAAGCCGCCGGATCGTCATATATTGACCCAATGAGCCGGCGGGGCCAATCGGATCGCAACGCGCTGCCGTAAACAGGCAGCTGCATCTCGGCGATATTCTGCTGTAAGCGCTTTAGACCCCGCGGTGGTCGTCGATAAAGAGTCTCCGATAAAGTCTCATAGCTTAGCATACTGATGATATTCAAGCATGAAGAATGTGAATGCATTAACTA